CCCGGAGGGGTGGGGTGGCCTCTCTGCCCGTCAGCCAAGCTTCTGGTAGGACATTCCCTGGCAAGGTGTCCAACTCCGCCACAGCGAAAACAAGTTCCTCCACCTTTTCCTCCTTTGCCCTGCGGGACCTTTAAGCTACCCAAGGATTGAGCTAACGCAGCAGCCAATGCAGCTCCCTGTACGTAAGCTGGCCCAATATCAGAACATGTTCTAATAAAGTCAGATAGCGTACCCGTCTTCCTATGCGGTCTAAGTGCTGTTTGGCAGGGTTTATTGGCATTCTCATAAGCAAGCTGTTTTACTATTATTCTTCCTGTCTCAGCATCAGACACTGTTCTAGATACTGCCTGTAAAAGACGGGAAACAAAGTCCCGCTGTAACTCGTCCGGCCCCTGTCGCTCGCCACTGAGTTCCTCAGACTTGGCCCCCGATGTAGGCAAACCGCGTCAAGCCTTCATAGCACCAATGTTAATTTGTTGATATATCTGTGAGTGAAATATCATTTGTTGCATCAAATCTAGATACTGTCCCTCTGCAGTCATTTCTACCGTAATAGAAATAGCATTCGGTGCGTTACGCCTAGCTTGCTGTTCACTGAGATTATGCCATTCGCTTTTCCATAATGGATAATCTCCCCCCGATAAGCAAGCCCTAGCAATCGTTTTCCAGTCACAGGGAGGCAGAGTTTCGTATTGCAGTCTTTCAAGCAATGCCAAAGTAAAAGGAGCAGAAGGACCGTAGGCTGCATAGGCCTGTTTTAAATCCTTCGGCGTCTTAAAAAGAACGGCTGAATGCTCCAGACAATTTGCCCCTGATCGTTAAGTCTTTCTGTTATGGGGAAAACATGGAAACCTCCCGTAACTTTTCCTCTTTCTCTAGCTTCCTGGATCCCTTTCTGAACCGGAGAATACACTACATTCCGGAATGATTGCAGATGGGACAGCGGCCGGACCGGACCGGAGCATTCTGGGATCCGGGGGCGGGGCGCGTGGCGTCACCGCGAGGCTCGCCGGGAGTTGTAGGCCGATCTCTTCCGAAGGCCGTCCGCTTTTCGGGAGAACCGCCGCACGGGCTCCTGGGAGCCGGAGGCGCGTAGACTTCTGGGAGTCGTAGTCTTCCCCGGCTTCCGCGTTTTCTCGCAGCTCGGACCTTCCAGCGCGCGTTCTGCTCAGGTGGGTACCTTCTCCTGCCGCGGGCCCATCCCGTGGCTTTTGTCGCGCTGCCGTATGGTATTCGATAGTCTCCATATTTCTCCCCGACGCATGACGGTAGGCATCCCCGGAGAGACGGCGCGGCGCTACTCTCCGTGATCCCCCAACGCCCGTCTCCCCGCGGCCCTCCGGTCGAGCGCGTCCTTAGCAGGCAGTGTCGCTGCTGACCCGCTTTGGACTCTGCGGCCCGGTCCGACTCTTCGTTCTTCCTCCCCAAGATGGGTGCGATGCAAACGCGCCGTCCTCTGTCCTGGTTACAACCGAGAGTGGTCAGGGCTGGCCTGGTGGGCGGTCCAGGCGGCTGTGGGACCTCAGACTAGGTGCCAGACCCAGCCCAGGGTTCAGCAAAGACTCCCCGAGCAAATGACCTCAACTGTACATGCTCAAACAAAATTCCAGACTCTCTGCCCTAAACCTACCCCTCTCACACTATTACCCCATTCTCCCCTACCCCCCACCTCTTCCCCACTAAGTGGTCCCACTGTCCTTCCAGTTGTTCAGGCCAAAACCTTGTAGTTGTGCCCAGTCCTGTTTCTCTCATCCACTGTCGTCCCCCACCTAAGTCTCGTGTGAGTCCCAAATGCTCCGCTTACAAAGGGGATTCAGAATCCGACCCCTTCTCTCTACGTTCACGGCCTCCACTCTGCTCCGAGCCACCTTATTGCTCACCTGGCTCACTGAAAGAGCCTCCTGACTGGTGGCCCTTGTCACTCTCCACCCTCTTATCACACACAGCAGTCCGAGGGATCCTGTTAAAACAAAAATCAGATCCCGCCACTCCACAGCTTAAAACCCTCCATGGGCTCCGATCTCGGAATAAAGCCCAAGCTCCTGGCCCTGGCAGCCTCCAAGCCCCCAACCTTCTCCTGCCTTCGCCACAACAGGCTCCCCAACCACCTGAACACAGACAGGCCCTGGCCTTCGGGTCTTTTCCGTTTGCGGTGAACTCTATCTGGAACACGATCTAAGGCCTGACATCTGAGGCCTGACTCCTCCTCCTCGTTCGTCCGGCCTCATCTCAGCGCTAACTCCGTCATGTTACTTCTCGTATTTTAAAGTATCCTGGTTATTTCTTACTTTTCCATGGGTTGGTTCTTCCACTCGAACTGAGTGCCCGCAGCCTTTCCTGCTTTGTTCACTGCAGTGTCTAGGATTCACTGAGTTGGTATTTGTTGAATGAATGAATGACAGCAAGCTTAAGCTTTGTTCACTGCTGTGTGTCCCCAGTGCCTGGGATCCGCCAAGTTGGTATCTGTTGAATGAATGAATGAATGAATGAATGACAACAGCAAGCTTAAGCTGAGACTTGAAGGTGCCAGGACTGCATAGTTCTGGGGAAGAATGTTCCAGGCACTGGGTTTATTCTGGGCGCTATCCAGGCAGCCTCCCAGGAGGCAACGACCCCGCCATCCGGAATCCACGTGTAACCCGCCTCCGCTCTCCCCGTCCAGGAGAAGCCGACCCCTTCCACTCCGCCGGGACCCCGCGATGCCCGCCCCGCAGTGCGCCTCCTGCCACAAGGCGC